CCCCCGGCCCCGCCGCGCGCAGCTCTCGCCAGTCGCTCAGCCCTAGTGGAAGCCGGGCGCGCCCGCCCGGGTCCCGGCCGGCGATCGCGTCCGCCCCAGCCCTTGCTCCTTTAATCTTTTTGTTTTGGTTTGAATCTGCTGGCGCAGACTGGCCAAGGATCCTCTCCGCCCTCCCCCTCCTCCTGGCGCGGGAGAGGCACCGGATATCCCCACCCTCCCCTCGCTTTGAAAGCCGGATTTGACTCCTCCAGCGGGGGTGGGGGGAGCGGAGAGCGAGAGAGGGGCTCGCGCGTCGGGCGATCGCCTCGGCCCTGAGCGGTGGCGGCCCCGGGCGTCCCCGAGCGGCGCGGCGGCCGGCGCAGGCACCTCCCCTTCCCGTGCGAAGCGTTCACTTCCTTGCAAGGTGGTACAAATCAACCCCGAGCGCGGCCGGGGCGGCAGGGCAAGCTGGGGCCTGAGCCGGGCGGGGAGACCCTGTGCCCGGGCGCGCACACCAGCGCCGGCCAGGGTCGGGGCCGCCCTGTGCCCTCGGCGCGCCGGTCTGGGCCTCCAGTCTTCGGAGCGCCTCTCCTGCGTCCTGTGTCCTCCGTTCGTCCCGTGCAAGTTGCACGAACTAAGCCATTTTATTTGTCTTGGCCTAGATTTCATGTTTTTCCACGAATGTTTTAAGTAGCTCTACAAGACTGTTACAGGTTTCCACTGAGAGTGAACACACACTGGAAGTAGAGGGCCAAATTCTCAGAGCACAAAAACATTTTAAAGTGCCAGGTGGGGCTGCCCAGGGCATAATAGAACTGGAGAAGTTGCCATGATACATGAAGACCTCATTTTCTAACCCAGCCAGAAAGACCTGTCGTTCTAGCGTGTCAATTTTCTCCCTAATTGTGTGCATTGACCAAATTATTCACTTTCCGTAAAGGGGGAAAATTAAGTATTTCCACACTTTTCTGTGATGAGCCAAGCCCATCTTTAAATTTCCATTTAAGATGTGTATTTAATTTACAAACATCTGTTTGCAGAAACTCACGAACTAACAAAATACAAAAACCACACAGCGCCTTTCCCCAGCCATGCCTAACCTTCAAACTAAGATCACAAAAGTGACACAGGTTTTTTTTTTCTTAAATGTAGGACAGGCTTCACCCAAGGGTGGTTTGGGTCCACGTGGGCGCGTGTGTGTGCATGTATAAGCGGGGAGAGGAACTAACACGTTTAAGACTGCAGGAACTCAAGTCTGCTTAACTTGACTTAGAACACATGGGTTTTACCCAGGATCAGCCAATGGATCACAATAACAACCCCCTGAATGTCTTCCTCCAACGCGCGATCTTTTATGTTATGCTGTATTAAGATTTCTTTTCTGTGTCATATTGTTTAGCTCCGGAAAAAAAAAGAAAACAAAGCAATTAAAAAGATTGACAGGTATGGTTTGTGTGAGACCTATTTGTAATTGTCAGGGTGACGTTGGCGAGAGGAGGAGGAGTAAAAACTGAAGCAGGAAAAGCAGCTCGATGTGTCTGTCTATCAGTTGAGACTGTCTGAAAGCTCTGCGATCCGAATGTGTGTTATATTTCACTGAAAAGAGGAGAGAGGGAGAGTGCATCTCCTCTCTCCCAGGAGTTTGGGGGGGGACAGTTCACGCTCACCTCGTCCACCCAGTGAATGTCTGCTCTTCACCCCCCCTGGCACACACTCTCCGGGTTGTTGTTGTTGGCTTTTTTGGGGGGGAAGGGAGTGCTTTTTGTATATTTTTCAAAATTTTCTGTTGGAAGATCAAGACCGGCCAAAAATCCATGCTCGAAATGTGTTTGTATTAGATTTTGCCTCCGAAGAAGCGGTGAACCTGGTGGCCAAGTCCCCCCCCCAGGGGGCAGCGCGGGGCACAAAGTGGCGCTCCAGCGGTGACACTGTTTGATCTGTGACTGTTTGGAAGGTGGAGCAGCGCTGACATCCCCCGGCGCATGTATGTACGGGGGCTTCACTCCTCTGTCTTGTTTGCTTTCTTCCTCCTAGACTAAGTGCGGGAGGAAAGGACAGCCCGATCGGCCTCGCTGGCGCACAATGAGAGAGCTGCGACCCGCGCACTGAACGCGCCCGCCGCGACCCCCACCCGGCGAGGAGAGGGGCCGAGAAAGTTGCGCGCGGAGACCCCGGCTCGCCCAGGAAGGCGCGGGAGCGCCCGGCGCGGCGCCCGGACAGCG